GTGGGCTCGAATATAGGTGCGCCCCTTGCTATGCCTGTGAGCACATTCCCCGTGCTCGAAGGTTTCACCGAAATGTTACATGTCTGAAATCTCCATGTCTCCTTTTCCCCAAGCTTAAAACTGACAAACCTTTATTTACATGCAATGCTGTTGAAATTGGCGTTAAGCCTAAATCACTGCAGTCAAACTACAAGCTGGAGAAGTCATGAAAATGGGATGATTTTTGTTTCATGAAATGTTCCTGTCTATTTAGGAGACTTCTTTTTATGATTAACGACATCAGACTGCATTCCGTATATCAATCAGTAATTTTAGGTCCTTCAGCTACGTAGGCCTCAGTGGTGGAAATAGTCCAGAAATCTCCAAACAAAGATGTAAATGTGAATGTTGTCACCTTGGCCAAGCACTAGTTTAGGTGGATTGTAAACGGAAACTGTTTTGCTGGAATGCATGATCAATTCAAGTGATGTCTTGTACTGAAAACATTTAGTAGCTGCTCCCCGACCTTAACACCATGGAAGTCTAAATTGTACAGTGTGTGTCAAAAATGACTATAAATATACTTAAAGTTTATGTCAGCGACATTTGAGAACTTTGAAACCAAAACACAACCATTAGCTGTAGATTGATCTTTATGATACTTTATAGAAAGACAAAGGCAAAGGACTATCCTCGAGATACGGTGATCCATCATCAGATTGGTAGAGGTCCCTATGCCCCAAGCATGACGCCATTTGCTATGAAGCTGGAGACCTATCTCCGGATGGCTAAGATACCCTACCAGGTAGGTGAGAGAGTGGGTGAATGAGTGTGGTTTCATGCCGCAGTTAGCAATATTCTCGTTGTGTCACGACATATTGGAATTTGGTCGTGGAAAGCAGGTTGTTGACTACCTGAGCAACGATTCATATCATTTTATCAATAAAACAGTCATTCTAATCCTAAGCCATCCAGTTCCCTGTTTTCTTCAATGGAGTGAGTGAGTATGGTTTTACGCCTCTTTTAGCAATATTCCAGTAATATCAAGGCGGCGACACCAGAAAACGGCTTCACACTTTGTACCCATGTTGGGAATCGAACCCGGGTCTTCGGCGTGACGAGCCAACACTTTAACCTCTAGGCTACCCCACCGAACCTTTTCAAGGGAAATCCTATGTTATAATACAATGTGTCTGTGATCTTCAACACAGAACGTCCATGGATTTCAACTTTCATCATCATTAGTTGCCTGAAATTTGCATTGGTTTGTCGAGGTCTTTTTCAGTTTTAGTAACAGTCCAAGCAAGACGGTACTAACATTTCATTAAGCATAGTGTTTCTTGTGGAATTGCTGATCTTTTACACAGAACGTCCATGGGATGCAGTGGTCATCAAAGGGCAAACTCACTTGAATTGAGTATAATGGACAGTCGGTAGCGGACTCATCACTGTGCATCGAATTCCTCAACAAGAAGCTGGGGTGGACCTCGACAGGAACCTGAGTCCTGCTGACAGAGGAGTAGCTAATGCAATAAAGGCAGTGATGGAGGATCATCTATACTGGTGAGGAGCAGTCAGTTTAACTTCTATCTGCCTGTACACCAGGACTGTGCAAAATATCAATATAAACCGATATATACCGGTACAGCGCCTCCCGATTCGAATATCGCGATATGGTTCAGATTGTGCAATAAATTGGGTCATCCAGGGTTAGCTCCCTTTGAATCATCTGCCTTTAACTTCTACATTTTACATGTTGAAGTATATTTATAAGTGGCTCCAAAAGTGCCAAATGTTCAACCAAGGACTAAGTCTTCTAAATTTTGTAGGACGGTATAATGACATTCTCGTCAAGGATCCTAGGCTATTGGAGGTCATATGAGATTTTAGCTCAAGCAGTTCATGTAAATCATGTTTTTGTTTCATTTTGCAATAGTTCATGTTAACACATCTTTATATTGGAGCTGAATCTGAATGAATCACTGACAAACAGTAACAATAATTACATACTGCATTGAAGTGCATTCTGTTGAAACAAACAACACTGACCATAAAAATCAACTTATGCTATTACCTTTATCATTGTATTCGCAAAACTTTGTTGTAATAGTTCAATTAAACAGTCCACATTAAGGCTTCATATCATTTTATTTATCCGTGGTAAACCGGTGGCATACAACCATACACACTGGGGACGGGAACTAAGAAGATGATGTCGCACATAGAGAGCTATTATGAATTTATGATGTACGCACTTGGGCAGAATTCTTCCAGTCACAATATGTATTGCTATATCTGTTAAATTTTTGCAATAAATCACAATATGAGAATCCGGGAAATATCTAGCCTTACTGTCCATCGTAACCATAACGCCAAACACATTGATATTTTGAATCTGATTGTTTAGTTTGTTGATTAACGCAATAATCCAGATATGTGATGGCGAACTGTAAATAATCGTACCAGGACCAGTCAATCCAGTGATTGCCAATGTGAGCATCTACGTGGCTTGGATACGATGATCATGACATGCATCCACCTATTCAGCGGGCCTGACAACCCTAGATTTCATTAGAACCGCTGAAGTCATGAAGGACGAAGCAGCATCAATCTGAGAGTGGGAAGATCGGTTGTTCAATCCTCAGACCGTGCCATAGGAAAAAGACGTTAATACATAGCATGATTTGTAACTTCTATTCTGCTTTAGGGACAACGAACGAGTTCAATTCCCATCACCGTCTAAGATAGGTTGCTGGCAATTTCCACTGTACTAGCATATATTTTCAGGTTCGTTTGCCTCTTCCGATGGCTATATGACAGCGACAGATCTTTGGTAATGATTGCCTTCAAATTATCGAAGTTTAAGTTTTGGATCTTTCAACGACTTCTTAAAAAGCAAGCATGGGATCAAGGCTTGGGCCGACACACAGAAGAGGAGGGAACTGAAATGTTTAAGAAGGATCTACAATCCATGTCAGACTTCATAGGTATGCAAAACTCTTAAAGGTATCTGTATACATACATCTTAAATATTTTTAGGTGAGGTGAGCTGAAATTGGGTTTAACGTCGTGCTTGAGAATATTTCGCTCATATGATGACGTGCATGCGTGTGTATGTGTATGTGCGGCTGCTTGTACTAGCCCAGACTTAAACTGGTTTTATAGTGCTAGCCCACTGGAGATACCATGCCGCAGTGAAGCATGAATACCCCACTCAGACACATTATACTGCCTCCGAGCCGACCAGTCCTTGTTGTACCCATTAATTCTGAGCGCCAGGCAGGATCCAACAAGTACCATATTTTAACGTCATTTGGTATGACGCGGTCGGGGATCGAACCCGCGACCTTCCGCTCTCCAAGCGGACGCTGTAACCTCTACGCCAAATATTTTTAGGAGCAACGTTAACTTTTGGTGGACAAATTAATAAACCTGACACTTAGTACATCGAATCACATATTCAATATGCAATGTTATGGAAATAGATGTGTATCATACAGTTTTCATCCAGATGAAAATATAGACAATGAAAAGTGGCTGCATCATAACTATAGAGGAAAACATTGCAGGCTGTTCCATGACACACACCCAACCCACTCCAACCCCAACCCCCATCCCCAAATTCTCCCAAACCACTATGATGGAGCCTTCAAATCGATCACACTCTCACGGCAACATCACTGACAGTGATGTTACCCCTTCCTGTGCAACATCTGTACGCTTCCACTGGTACGCTTTCGCTTGAGACAATCATGTTCCACTTCGTCTTGCTTAACCTCGTATATCTGCGAACCCATTGTAAACCATTGAACAGGATGGAATTGCATAGTGAAATTGATTATTGTCTTGTACCTGTCATGTGATATGATCTGTTTCAATGTACTCATCTGTCCACACATGCTGTTTTTCCAGGGACCAAGAAGTTCCTGATGGGGACGAGCCCTGTGAGACGGACTGCACAGTGTTCGCTCATCTGTCACAGGTTTACTGGCAGTTCACGGGCACTGGATACGAGAACATCCTCAAGGGCAAGTACCTTTAATTACCTCATCCATCTATCTTGAGTGCACATTACCTACTTTGGGGTGTGGTGATGTCTGTTCATGCAATGAAGAAATCAGAAGAATATTTTGATTTTGGAAGTTAATCTGGAGGAAAACTTATTTTGAACTATTATCTGATGTAAACCATGATATGGTTAATGCATATTTTCTCTGCTATTACAAATAGTTTAGTCAGTTTCACTTGTTTAAAATGTTTGGTCAGAATGACCAGTGAATCCTACCATTGTGCATGCAACATGAAGAGCAAATGAGCAACCAAGCCATTAAACATGTTGCACGTGAAATATTGCCGTTTTTGCGATATAATCTGAGCTCTCATTAGTCTGAGCATTTGCTTATTTCTTTCTTGCTTGGACCAGGTCGTGTCCAATATTAGCAACCAAATCAAAGTCTCTGTTGATAGGTGAACATTGTGTTATATATATGTAAGATTCTTTCAATGCATACATTAAAGTAATACCCTGTACCGAGCTCAAAACATCGCAGAAAAACTTTTATTATAGGGTTCATAATGTACTCCTACTTTTTTCACATAACAACTGCATTTACAAACTTTATGTCGAAAAGGTCTTTAAACCATACTTTAACCCAGTCTCCTACATTGAAGCATATCTGTCATCTTATGCATGCATAAAAAGAACATCAACAAAATCGACATAACAAAGATTTATCCTAACTTGTTACAGCTGTCATCATATCATTACCTGATGAGAGATGATGTGTATGTCTTTCCATTGGATTGAAGTTTTCGATTTCAGGCTGATTCGACTTCACTGATAATACAAACAATCGCAACAAAATTTGTTTACCAACCTACCTTTCATTACATTGAGATTTTAACATCCCAGTCTCCCAGAATTTAGCTTTAAATTCAAAATGATCTAGTTTACATATGAATTAAAGTTATCATTTGTTGTTAATACGTGTTGCTTATGACCTCTCCCTTTTTGTCCGTAGACAAATACCCCAACCTGGCCGCCTACTGTGAACGTATGAAGGAAACATTCTGGCCTGACTGGGACCAGTGCATCACACACGGTGGAACAAGGGAGGCAACAAAGTAATTTATCCAGAAAACTGTGATGGCCCTTTAATGTGTGCTTCGTAATAAAATAAAGCTCTGTGGAAACTGGGTAATAATCATTCATTATTATCCTCGAACGGAATAAACCGTCAAAACCCAAACGCTGTGCTTCGTGTGTCGGCCCGAGAAGGCCAGGTACGACAGCGCCGCCTCGTTTTTAACCATCTCCTTGTTGGTACCTGCAGTCGTCCAGGATGAGCTGCCGTTGTCGATGTGACGTCCGCTGCTGTGTAGTCTGTCGTCATCCATAGATCGCATGTCCAGCCTCAGTGCATAATGCTTATCCAGGTACTTACCGAACATCATGTAGGTGAAACCCAGGTCTTTGGCGACGTCGCTTGACTTCCGCAAGTGTCACTTGACGGACGGTAGTTTTTATCTCGTCCCATTGGCGGATAAACTCGCATGCCTTGGCTAAACAGCTGGTTGAGCACACCTTCGACGGTCACTTCCACTTTCGTAATCTCGATTCCAAGTGAGTTCGCTGTTTCTTCTCGAAGGGCTCATATTCTGCCACGGGAATGATGAAGATGCCTTTCATCGATCAAGCCTGCATGTTCAGGTTGATGTTTCACAGCATGTTGCTCTTTGTCCTTGACGATAGTCCGGTGTAGCAGCACGCGAACGTACAGGATGATGACAGCTTTCCTGAGTACTGGTTTCGAATCTGCCGGGCCAGTTTCGCGCTCGTGACCATGTCGAACTCCAGCGAATGTTAGATGTTGTCGACGACGAGCTTGCTTCGGTGCCGTCTGGCATGTAGATAACTTTGCCGTGAGTCGTTGAACGTGAGTTTGCATTCCAGCTGGTCGGCCAGCTGCCTGGTAAAACGGCATGTGCCCCCTCAAGCAGCTCGAAGTTGAGCGGTAAAAAACGACTATTTCTCCTGTCGTTATATTGTCGAGCTGGTCTTGGCGTGAAAGTTAACCCCACACGGATTTTGTTTTGATACATCATTATTCCGAAAAATCCTTGATACACCATGTCATCGCGTTCGTTCCCGGTTCTCCTCAGCGAGGTCCACATAACAATAAACCTTGTTGTTGTCGACGATGCTCAGCACCTCGTTCCCACTTATTTTGGTGGTGGTTTTCTTGACGATGGCATGACCCGGGTTGTTCAGGATCGTGCGTTTGTCGGTCGTGAACTCCAACATGATCTGAAAAGCCAGTCGAGTCGTGTCGGGGACGAAGGCGTTGTTCGCGCCCAGGTTGGGGAATCAAACCAACAGCGTTTGGTTTTGATCGATCATGCTCGGATTGTTGGTGATCGCCACCGACTGATGGTAGGGCTTTGACACCGAAAGTGGCTCTCTCGATCTTCGGAAAGGATCTTGCTTTCGTCTGTATTGCGACATTGTTTATATTGAAACTATGTATTTTATAAGTTAATGATCCGAGAGAAATGCCCCAGTGCACCAAAGAAGCATCGGACGAAATCGAAAAATATTGGTCACGTACTCGAATGAACCCTTGCCCGGTTTTGTATTTCCTCTTAGGGAACTTCTGGTCTCTAGACGAAGCCTTGAAAACGTGTGCTGAGAACTCATATACAACATGGGTAAACTGAACGAAATCGACGAGCACACCTCCGATGTCACACGGATAGGAATTGGACGGTGCTGGATTTGATTTGGATTGGATTTGAGCGTTGTGGTGTTGAAACAGCTCCTCTGGCGGTATAAAAGTGGGAGGTGTTAAGGTCGCAGGATTTTGTCTATGTAGCGATTAAGCTGTAAGATTGCCTTGAACCACCATTATCTCTGATCTACCCATGTAGGACATGGCTATCCACAACATGAAGCCTTCCCCCACCAAATCTGTCCACCTGCCAAACGCAGTTCGGGCGCGAAAACGTTCATGCGACGTCGACAGACACGTTGTTCCCCACCCCATCTTTGCAGATGGACACGCCGATTCATCGCTGAGCCAAACATGTCGCCTGTTCCCCGGCTCAATGCCTGTACCCTGTTGCACCGTTGGACACCATTGGACACTTCTCTCAGACGATTTCTGACGGTTTGGTTGGAAATTCTTCGAAGACCAGGCCTGCTGTCCTGCTGTGTACGCTGCTGTAGCAAATCCGTGACGTAGGTGGAACACCCGGATGAAACGGTCCTGGGCCGGAGTGGTCAATCTTGGTCTTACACTTCGGGGACGATCTTGGCTCGAATTGAAGCGGGTACATCGATGACATAATCGGGATATGGTGCTGTGGTGGACGTTGACGTGTCTTGCAACAGCAGACTGGGAACCCCCTGCTTCCAAACGTCCAATGGTGTTAGTTAGGTCAGTAATATTCAATCTTGGCATATTTTATCTTCGTTTACATCGTTAATGTCGTAATGATATGATGAATTTGGTATCGTTTCAGGTATCGTTTTCATTTCTTATAACAAACGTTTACAAACACATATTAGGGGGTCCGTTTGCGCGCAATCTACAACAACCACGACATGATGAACGGGATTCAAACATAGGAATTGTCTCAATGGCGATTGCTGTCAGAATATATCGAAACAAAAAGCTGAAAACGTCTGTGCGTATCTCTTTTGAGGAGTGTATGTCTGTAACTTCTTCTGTTTTCCAAACGGCGGCAAACTGTAACGGAATATGTGTTGGCTCTGTCTTTACTGCTGATGTTAGACCGGACTCGATATATCTCAAAATGAGTTATGAGTTTTGGAATAAAATCACCCATTCAAGATATCGGTAAAATTACTTTTGTAATGGGGAATTGGTATTGACATTTACTAATGTATTTTTAAGAAACATCTGTTGGTTCCTGTATAATATATGTGTATGCATAAAGCCTCGCTGTCTGAAAAAACAAACCCAAAAACAACAACAAAAACTACTTTTGCATGTTATCTGTATTTAAACGTACATTATCAGAAATTGAATAACTGATACATTTTAAAACATATTTAAAACATTCAAACATCAGGAATTCCTTTCAATCTGGGCGCGCCAGAATACAGTCAACAAAACTGAAGAGAGAACAGCGAATATATCCCGAATATTGCAACCAAAACAGGAGAATAGTAATATAAACTCAGGTAATAATCCTGTAACGACATTTGACCATATCTGACCTACACTAACGCTGTATCTCAGGAATATATACCACTTTGACAAAACAAATAATTCTATTTTAAAGGAGTCACAGTGAGATTGGAGATTCAGAAGACATAACGCGTTTGCATTGAAAGAAAGGAAGGTAAAATGAGAGACTGTAAGACATATATATCTGACCCCAGAAGCTTAAACAAGCCTCTGACAACCAACCCGATCCAGCCGACAGTCCAAAGTCTTCAACATTCGTAGTGAATGTTATTGAGGACAGATTGTGCAACACAGCGAAGTGCACAGTGACACACAGAGGAAACTATGGAGAGTATCATGGACACTTTCACCCACATGGACACGTCACAGAAAGTACTGTATGTAATGGGAGGTGCTGTCGTAGCCATCGAAACGGTAGTCGGCCTGAGAAAACTATGTTTCAAGTGAGTTATCACGTGTGAATATCTAATAAAGAGAGACTCAGTATGTGGCTAGATTCAGTTGTCTGAGGCGCCTCGATTCGTTTTGCAGTGCGTCGTACCGTACAGAGTGTCGTACACTGAAACCGATGAATGTGGGCTCGAATACAGGTGCGCCCTTGCCAGGTTTGTGAGCACTATAGTCGTGCTCGAAGTGTCACAGAAATGTTACATGTCTGAGATCAACATTTCTGTGTTTCCTCCCACTTAGAGCTGAAACGCCTTTATTTACGTGCAATGTTGTTGAAATCGGCGGTAAGCCTAAATCACTCATGCAATCAAACTACAAACTGGAGAAGCTCATGAAATAGGATGGTGCAAGAATGGGATTGTTTTATTTCATGAAATGTCCTTGTCTTTTAAGAGATTTCTTTTCTATGGTTTATGGTATCAGACTGCATTCCGTATATCAATCAGTAATTTCAGTCCTTAAGCTACTAACGTTCGGTGGTGGAAATATTCCATAATCTGCACACGCAGATGTTAATGTGAATGTTTTCACCTTTATAAGCATTAGTTTAGGGTGGAATCATAACAGAAACTGTTTAACTGTAAATTATGTCAGTGGAATGCCTGATCAATTTAGGTGATGCATTATACTGAAAAATCACACCTTGAAGATCCGGGTTAGAATTGGTCATCAGTGACCCATGCTTGTCGTAAGAGGCGACTAATGGGATCAAGCTCGCTCACATGTTGGACACATGTCATCGTATCCCAACTGCGTAGATGACCTTCATGCTTTGGGTCACTGGATTGTTTGGTCCAGACTCGATTATTTACAGTTCGCCGTCATATAACTTCAATATTGCGGCGTTAAGCAACAAACAAACAAACCAACCAGCCAACCATAAAAACATGGAACACTAAATTATACAGTGTATGTCCTACAATATAAATATGCTAAATGTTTGGTGTCAGCGACATTTGAGAACTTTGAAACCAAAACATAACCATCAGCTGTACATTGATCTATTTGGCCAATAAAGTAGGTCACGACACTTCGCTTGAGACCTTAGCCTTTCCGGTAACTAACAACGTTTCATATTTGTCATGGTATAAACAGCTATGACAGTCAAGCATGGCTGTACACTTGGTCCGGTCTCGTAAAGGTATATTTGGAACTAGAACTGGTCCTTCAATATACGCTTGTCACCATTCTCCTACCCAGAGGACCTTGCGGCCAGAATAGTATGTTATGCCTACACTCTGGCGCAGTGATGACCTACCTGGTTGCACAAAACTCTTGGTAGGAGAGTGTATTATGTGGTTTGTACCTGGAAATTTGGTACGGGAAGTAAGCTTCGCATCGTCTCTCATATCGCAAGTTGTCAAAGGAGCTGGAAACAGCTTAATACCGGTAGTAGCGCCTCGCGAGACTTTACATACCCTATTTTGACATTTTACAGAGAGACAAAGGCAAAGAAGGACTATCCTCGAGATACAGTGATCCATCACCAGATCGGTAGAGGTCCCTATGCCCCAAGCATGACACCATTTG